ACCTCAACCATAAACAAAAAATAAGAGATGTAGTATACGTAGGGGTAACAACTAATAATATTATTGTAATTTGTAACCTGTTGCAGTTGCTAGGGATATCAGACCCATAGACAATGTGGATATACATTACCCGCTTGCTACAAACTGGCATATGATGCTCCTCATTCATGAATAAATTAGCGCTCGAATGTACGTCGTGATTGATTATCACAGAGTACCAAAACTTAAAATCCTGTTGAAAAAAAATAAAATAAAATCACACTTTGTTGCTCCCATCACAAAAAAAAGGGTGATTCCACAACCAAACAGAATGGGTAATTCCACAACCAAACGTAACGGTGATTCGAAAACCAAACGGAAATGTTGATTCCGCAACCAAACGAAACGGGTGGTTCTGCAACCCTAGTGAAGCAGGTGATTCCATCCGCAACCAAACGGAACGGGTGATTTTGTTTGCAACCAAACAGGTGTAAAAGCAAAAGCGAGCAAAGTGAAACAGAGGCCAAAGTAAATGGAAACGGAAAAGCAGAGTATATCAAAGCAAAGGAGAACACACAACACAACACAACAAAGCAAGGGAAAACAAGTGGCAAAGCAAATGGAATACATATTGGAGACGCCCGCTGCGTGCTGCTTCACCTACCGTGGGAGCACAACAAAGCAAAGCCGAACACACATCATGTGTACAACCTGACAAGAGGTGTAGCCCACTGAGTTGTGCATAGGTACAAACTGGCCACAGACGTAGCCCATTTCGTGTTGTACAGGTGTAGCCAACCCACTGAGTTGTACACGAGTACAACCTGACCATAATCATCATCCTGTTGTCATCACAGGGCGCGGCGCATCATCACCGACATCATCATCATCATCATTATCATCATCTTTTTGTAATCATAGGGGCTGATCTTTAGTATGATCAGCAGCATCATTCTGTCTCATTCTCATCACTTCCATCATCATCATCATCATCATCAGTTTGTCATCATTATATGTTTGCTCTTCAAGGCTTTGTTTGCCGTTCATATCAATAGGTGAGTTGGTTGTCACCATCATCCTCATCATCATCACTTTTAGGGTGTTGTTCGTCGTCATCAGCAAAATTAAAGAAAAAACTCATCTACCTTTCTTCATAATGACTTTCATAAATTTCCGATTGGATCGTTCCCGGAGGCTTGGTAAGAAGGGGGTGAGGGGGGCTCTATCTTGCAGGGGCTTCACAAGGTGGGGGGTGAATGTCTCAAAGAAGGTAGAGGCGGAGTAGGGGGTTGCCCTATTCTGGGGCAGGGGCTGGTGCGTGGATCAATATCAGTCCCTGCGGAGGCAGAAATGGGCAAGGGGCTGGGGGGGCATGCTTTAGGTGGGAACTGCATGCTCCTCGGGAAAGGGGGGTAGAGGGTTGGTCCTATATTGGGGCCGAGGGAGAGTGGGTGACTCACSTCGGKGGAGGCAGTGTAGGGCTGAGGGGGGAGGGGTAGGGGTAGGGAGGGGCGATCTTTCTTGAATAAGTCTATCATCTTGTTTACTATTTCTTTTCATTTGGTTTTCCGCTCGAGGAGGTTGTAGGAATAGACGTGAGGTTTGCCGCTCGAGCGGTTTGAAAAATCGCATGGTGAATCGGGTTGAAAATCACTGAGGTTGTTAGACGTGATTACTTTGACGGAGTTCCAGCTGGATAAACACCTTATTCTACTCTATGACCCAAATTTTGAAGCAGAATGTTCGCATTCCTAAAGGGGGGAGAGCGAGTCCTCATTTGGCAAAGGTACTTTGCATCTATGCAAAACCGCAATTCCTCTCATCGCTTCGAGTCAATGCTATGTACATGGATGGAAGCAGAATCATTGACGACTTGCAATTGGTTGGCTGGTACGATGAGAAGGACAAAAGTGGACTTGGGCGAACTGAGCAGATCCTGCACAGAATTACGGACTGCTACCACAAGGACTTGGTGCTTGAGCGGACTGACAAAGGGAATGATATGGTCGAGTACTTGGAGACAAGGCTGATTGTGACGAAGAGGCCTCCTTGGATCTACAACTTTCAAAAATTCAAGAACTTGGATGCAATCTGGGAAGGATGGAAGTATTGGCCGATTCAGAACGATGAGGGATGTTGATTCCTACGCCCCCTAGATCCAGAAGTCTGGAGAAGTATCCAACACCATTGGTGGAGTAATGGACAACACGAATACCAAAATTTCCCTGTGGTGGAGTCTGCTAACCTTTTTGAGAGAATTAAAGATGAAGGTGAATGGGTACTCAATAGAAATGTTCGAAGCCTTCGGCTTGTTGGGCTTTTCTGGCCGTGATGGCATCTTTTTTGTTATTCTCCCAGGATCCAGGTTGCGTGAAGACAGTGGTCAGGAGTTGGCCATTTCTGTCGCTGGACTTATTACCAGATGCCTGCACTGAAGCTGCGTAATGATCGCAGATTTGTTTTTCCCTGGGTTGTTTGTGGGAGGGTTTCCCGACCTCCCCTTTTTTGGTATTAATAGAAGTTTCTGGTTTTGCAAAAAAGAAAAAAAAAAAAATGTTCGAAGCTGGTTTGGCAAAAATGGAGAAAAGAGAGGGCACTTGTCTCTGCAAAGAGATGGGGTCCAAAATGTTGAAATGGGAGTGATATTGCCAAAGGAGCGGGGAGGATGGGAAGTAAGGGAGAGGAGGGGGGCGGAGTATTGGGGACGAGTCCTGTCTCCGCGTGCAGGAAGAAGAAAGGGGTAGTACAGGGACCAAAGTCTGGCCCCACGCAAGAGAAAAAACGGCTTAACGGCGTGGAGGGATGATCTTAATTATATTTTATTTTCTTTCTTTTTTTCTTGGCTTGAATTTTCAATTTACTGAGCCAATGGAGGCCAAAGGCTGTCGTTGTTCCTTTTCATGGCCCAGCTTCTCTTCCGGCCGGTACCGAGCGAGAAACTTTGACCGTGCAGTGGCCGCGTGGTTGGCTTGCACTTTTGCTAGGGGATGAATTGTTTAGCCTAGTGCACTTTTGCTAGGTTTTTGTGATAGGTTCGGCGTGGGTACCAAGGTAGATAAAAGAAAGCATTTGGGACATCGAACTCCTGTAAGCCTGAGCAACAGGACAGAAGGGCTGAGCTCTGCCAGGGGAGGATTTGTTGAGCCTCGTGTACTTTTGCTAGGTTTTTAAGATAGGTTCGGCGCGGGTACCAGTTCGGCATCAGCGGCCAAGGTAGATAAAAAAAAGCATTTGGGATGTCAAACTCCTGTTAGCCTGAGCAGCAGGACAGAAGGGCTGAGCTCTGCCAGGGGAGGAATTGTTGAGCCTACTGTCTTCACCCGAAAATAACGCCCGGGCGTTGTGTACGAATATAACTTCTATCGGGCATTATATTCAATAAATTCGTGGTAACTTCGATGCGGCCCCAAAATTCCGAAAAATAAAAATAAAAAAATCATGTAAAAACAATATGTTGTCCAAGACTGCAATGCGACCAACTTTTGGCTGAGGGTCACTTCAGAATTTCTTATAAACTCGAAAAAAAAAAAAAAAAAAATCAAGCTCAAAAATATCCCTTGGAAGTCGAAACCCCATTCGACCCTCTTCAAAACCCATGTATACCCCCTTCCCCTCCCTTTAAAACCCATGTATACTACCTCTGCAAGGCACTCTGCCCATAGAACATTCAAATATAACACCCGGGCGTTCTATTTGAATATACCACTCGGGCGTTCTGTTCAAATATAACGCCTGGGCGTTATATTTGAAAGGACGCTCTATTTGAAGAAAAGTGAGTGAAAACAACAATTTCATCGTCTTAGGGTAAGTTGAATACAACGTCCGGACGTTATTTTCGGGTGAAGACAGTAGTGTACTTTTGCTAGGTTTTGCCGATAGGTCTGGCGCAGGTACCAGCTCAGCATCAGTGGCCAAGGTAGATTAAAAAAAGTGTTTGGGATGTTGAACCCTCTTAGCCTGAGCAGCAGGACAGAAGGGCTGAACTCTTGTGGTTTTGTCATCGGCGATGTCGGGTGTTTTTTGCTGTGATAGTAAAGTCCGTAACACCTGATTTGTATTATCTATGCACTCAACCAGGCCACAGGTGTGGCCAACTCTGTGTTGTAGACGTGTAGAAGATTGTTGGCTACAGGTGTAGTATGTTGTGAATTGTACACAGGGGGAACCGCGTGTGTTACACGGGTAGCCCACTATACTCTGCAAATGAATGGCTGCTATGATTTGGGTCTTCGAGTTCGAGTTTTTAATCTTTCAGACTGAGGAACAGCTGACGGTGATCGACAACAGGAACTTTTTCGAGTGTAGGATTCTCCCGTTTTGATTGGGTTTTCAGTCCTTGTGGCGTCCTTGTGGCCTCAGCCAAAATCGTGGGTAGCCCGTTCCTGGCACTCGGTTATGGCCAGGCACAAGAGGAAATGGAGAGGGCTGAAGCGGAGGCAGGGGGCAAAGCAAAAGTCGAAGAAAAGAGCAGAATTGCATGAGAGGAGCAGATGAAACTAGGAGGAGCTGCAGCTGAAGAAGCAAAAAAGCATGAACCGCAGGTCATAGAAGAGACTGGAATTTGCTGAGGTTAGTATGATCTCCACTCTATGAATTCGTGGTGGCAAGTTTGGTTAAAATGACCTTTGGGTTTTGCTATAAATGACACGAGAAGTTGTAGTCTGAAAATTGAGGCCTCCGATAAGAGACATCATGAAAAAAGAGAAGACAACCATGGAGAGTGACATGGACAAAGTTCAAAGCTTTAGGCCAAAGTGAAATCACGATGAGGAAAAGACATCCCCATCCACCCATCCACCCATCATGCACTGCTGCAGAAAGAATCCCCAAGGGACCTCGTGAGGTCCCTTGTAGCTCAAGGAACCGTGGTTCACGGAGTGGCGAAGACGTGCGTCGATGGAGAGTTTCGGTGCTTGGGTGGTGCAGATGTGGTCCAACGGCGTTAGCACGGACAGCACCACCCTCCAACGTCTGCGTACTCCTCCAACAGCCCCCAACGGCTACTGTTGGCGGTGGGCCTCCATCGGGTGGCATCGTCGTTTTCGGCCAGCATCATGCGGTCTCTCGCGCTCGAGGAACGTCCGCAACGGTCGGCAAAACATTTTTTTCCTGGCGGCGCCTTCAGTCCGTCCACGGAAGAGGTTTCTGCACAAGCGTCGTGTCCCCACGCGTGTCGTCATGTGCCCCACGTCCGACAAGACTCTTGCCTTCTCTGCCGTCGTGTGCTAGATGTTCGACAACAGACATGGCATTGCTGCCCTCTCCACCGTGCAGTTCATGGCCAACCTGTACCGTAGGCTCCCTCTGCTGCTCCACGTCGCTGTGCTGCTTCTGGTGGTCCCTCTGCTGCTCCCCGGCGCTGTGCTGCTTCTCGTTGAAGTAGTCATCCGTGGAGTCGTCGCATTGTCGAAAGTCTTCCCACATCCCCCCTGTCCTGCGTTTGATCCACCTCCTCGGTGTCGCACGTGGAATGACGCCGCAACCCACCGTGTAGCACAACTCAATAACAGCCTCCGAAGTTGCCACATAGTCGGGGCCTATATCCGCAGCTTGCATCAGCGTCCTTATTCTACGTGCGTGCAACGTCTCCTTCATTCGTCCCAGCGCCCTCTCCTCCTGAAGGGACACCGCCACTAAGGCCGATTCAGCCCTGCACCGTCTGCGAGCCGCAAGCCGAACGTCGTCGTCGTCACCACAACCGTACTTCAAAATTTGAATTTCAAACGTAGAGGTCCCCCCGTACTTCATTTCAGACGTAGAGGTCCCCCTTTTTTATTTTATTTTTCGTGGCCTGCCTCATGCCTTTTCCCGCCGGACGTCGCTGGACCACGCCGTCTCCACACGGACAACGGACGCTGGACCACGGACACCCCTGCCCGTGCCTGCGTATTTTCGTATGAAAATGGCTGCGAGCAGGCCACAAGGAAACGTCCTCGGGGAACTTCCCCAAGGATGTGTGGAACGACCCAGCAAAAATCCCTTACGAGCCACAAGGAAAATTCCTGGTCGCTCAAGGAACTTGTAAAGAGTGTCACACACATGGAGAAAAAGTGAGGGGAAAAGGGAGGTGTTGGTGGGGAGCTGATCTGACAGACCACCGTTATGCAATCAAGATTTCAAAACCTCAAAAAGTCAAAACCATGCACTGCTGTGAACCACTGGCAGGTTCCAGAATATCCTTTTTCTTCCAAAGTATTATGTTTCATCCGTTGACGATATCAGTCTGGCTCTTGTGCAGAGAACAGAACTTTGTAGCTGACCTTCATCATATAGAAACACTTCCCCCCCCCCCCCCCCCCCCCCCCC